TGCGGGAGAGAGCGCGATGGGCCGCGGCGGTGGGCGCACGCTCCGCGGGGGCTCATGCCACGCGCGTCCCAACCCAGCGCGCAATTAGCAGCCGCCTCCGCAGCCGCCGCCTCCCCGCCCTCCAGGGCTGCCGCGGCGAGGAGTTCCAGCCGTCGCTGCACGCCAGCTGCTGGCATTGTCCTCCCGCTCCGCCGCCGCGGGCTGCTGCGGGACCCCGGAGCCGCGCGCCAAGGACGCGTTGCGGCCGCCGGCCAGCCGGCCGGGCTCCAGGTCCCAGCTCGGTGATTCCCGAGCCCCGCGCGCCCTGGCCACCCCGTCCCGGGGCTTTCCTGCGGTGCCGAGAAAAGGGAATCGGGCAGCCGCCCAGCCTCGCCTGCCCCCGGCGCTCAGCCCCGACGGGGCCGCGGGCGGCGCGGCGCGAGCGCCCACGGAGCCATGAGAGAGTACAAAGTGGTGGTGCTGGGCTCGGGCGGCGTGGGCAAGTCGGCGCTCACCGTGCAGTTCGTGACGGGCTCCTTCATCGAGAAGTACGACCCCACCATCGAGGACTTTTACCGCAAGGAGATCGAGGTGGACTCCTCGCCGTCGGTGCTGGAGATCCTGGACACGGCGGGCACGGAGCAGTTCGCGTCCATGCGGGACCTGTACATCAAGAACGGCCAGGGCTTCATCCTCGTCTACAGCCTGGTCAACCAGCAGAGCTTCCAGGACATCAAGCCCATGCGGGACCAGATCATCCGCGTGAAGCGGTACGAGCGCGTGCCCATGATCCTGGTGGGCAACAAGGTGGACCTGGAGGGCGAGCGCGAGGTCTCGTACGGCGAGGGCAAGGCCCTGGCCGAGGAGTGGAGCTGCCCCTTCATGGAGACGTCGGCCAAAAACAAAGCCTCGGTCGACGAGCTCTTCGCCGAGATCGTGCGGCAGATGAACTACGCGGCGCAGCCCAACGGCGACGAGGGCTGCTGCTCGGCCTGCGTGATCCTCTGAGGCGCCCGCGCGCCGCGCCGCACAAAAGCCGCCCGCGCCGGGTGATTGCTCGGCTCGGCTTGGAGGCTGGAGACGACTTTGCGTTGGGCCCGGGGCCCGGCCGGCTGGCCTCCGAGGCCGGCCTTTGCCGCCGCCGCCTCCCCGGGTTCGAGAGGTGCCCGGTTCTGAGCAAACGAGACCCTGGTGGAAATGGAGCTCTTTGCAGCATGTACGTTTCTCATTGATTTTTGTTTGACGCCGATCTCCCCCGTTTCAATCGCCCTTGGGGCGCAGTGTATTGGCAGCTTGACACCCGGCAAGCAAAAGTTTCAGCCCGGAAGAAAAATGGGGGTGGGGCAGAGGAAGGGGAGACAGGGGGACAGCTCGCTCCCTCTCTCTCTCCCTTTTTTTCTTTTCCTGTTAACCACCGTCTTCTTAATTCCAACTTTTAAAGACGTGGAAGGAAGTCCGGGAGAACCCTATGAAGGAGCAGGAGGAGAGGAAGAAACTGGTTGTTTTTCCCTGTTTTCCAAGGAAGAGCTGGAAATGAAGACCGGGTTCCTTTTCTGCCAGCTTGGAAGGGCCGCCCTGTGACTGATTGTGATTCTGAGGATGTCTATGCAAAGTTGGATTCTTGTTATAGTGTATCCAATCTGAAGTGTTGCACATCTGAACTGGGACTGTTAACACGGATGCCAATACAGTGTGGGGTGCCAGAAAGTGTCTGCTGATATTTGTGGGGGGGAAAAATCTATTTTGTTTACCTACTGTATCAAAGGGGAATCTGGGGGAGAATGGTAGTATTTTTTTTTTATCAGCTGTGAAAAATGTTACAGATCTGCACATTTGGTGTACTAATGTGTGTGTGTGTGCGTGTGCGTGCGTGCGCGCTTTTATGTTTTTGAGTTTTTGTTTTGTGTTTTCGGTCCGCAGTAACGGATTTTGATGACTAGATCTTTGAAACGCAGTACAAAGACTTCCTAAATGTGATTCAGGGCCCCCAGCACCCCTGTGTCTGCAGAGTGCCTTCAAAACTCAGCTGTTCCAGCCGGTGCCAACCTGTGAACTTCCCAGTATCTGCTATTCTCCAAACCACTTCCCAGTTTCCTTTCAGTGATCTTCCTGAGCAAGCCAGGACAATAGGGCCTGTTGTTTGTGACTTTCTTTATTTCCAGCCTTTAAAATGTAATTTTCATGCCTTGCAAACATTTTTTGTGAGTGTGCTTCATTTTGTTCCAATGTTCAGGTATGAGCGCCCTGTTTTGTATTATTTTATATTTTGTTATTTTGTTTTTGTTCTTTTTTGATTTTTCGGTTCCAAAGTGTTCCTCCAGAAGCAAAGAGCAAAGTTTACCGTTGTCATGTACCAAGAGGATTTTAACTAATTGTAATCTTTAATTCCAGACGTGCGTTTATTGTTGTCTCTTCATTTTAAGACTTTTAATACAAATGTCATTTTTAAGAAACAAACCCAGAACTATTGTTTGTGTTTCTGTGTTTTCGTATTCAGTGACTTAATATATATAGTACCGGGGCTGAAGTAGACAGGGGCAGGTATATGTATTTATATGTCTATCCTCAAGAGGTGCCAGATTGTGAGACAAAAGTAGTCAACTAGCGAGTTGGGTGACAACGGACTGGACTCCTAAAATGTGGAGAAAATCCTAAAGCCTTGTGGGAGGGCCTTAGCAAACGACAAGAGGAATAGGTAGCGTGATCTTTGCTGATGTGGAAGAGCTTGTCTCACTGAAGGTAGTAGAAAGAGCTACTGCCATGTAATGGCTGATGTCCAGAATATTGACCAGTTACCTGACTGGGAACTCAATAACTTATTTTTCTTAATTTTTAAAATTATGTCATGCAACAGACAAAAACACGATGGGGAAGATAGTTTCCAATTTACAAATGAGGTCCTATCTTGTGCAGTACATGTGTATGAGTTGTAGGCTGTCTCAATGGAAAGAGATTCCTATGTTTAAAAAACACACAGAAAAAACCAGTAGACTTCAGATCATTATCTTGCTATTAACTAAATTCTGTGCATTTTTTAGCATATTTGACCTCTTAAGTTTTTTTCCTTCTGACAGTAGGAGGCAGTGCTAGCTTTTTTAATTTTTCTTAAAGAGGGCTTTAATCCGTAATAACCACCTCTGTAGAAGTGTCTGAATATTTTATATATGTGTGTACAAGGATGCTTCAAAAAGTTTGTGGAAAATGTAGTTCAAAGATAATGGAATTTTCCCACTAACTTTCTTGAAGAACCCTGGTATCTGAGAAGCACTTATACCTTTTTTTTTTAATCTATAAAGTGGAGCTTTATGTCTTTTGAAGGGTCTTCTGACAAAAGGACGTATTCCATCGTGATAAAACCCAAAGAAAAGAAATTACAGGTCACTGCTTTCCTTTAAGCTGTATGATCATACCTTGCCTTAAAGCATTACGTTCGTTGCTGGGTGTTTTGAACATAAGGAGGAATTTAGAATTTTGCCTGAGAGTGTTCTACTTGACCCATTCTTGCGCTGACTTAGTGTCATATCAAATGCGGTTGGAAAGCAGTATTATACAGACTTCTAAATGTGGAAATGGCTCAAATGTATCCTTTGTGGAGTTCATTCTTGTATTTAAGTAAATGTAGTTGCTTAAGTAAATCTGAAGTTTTGAAATTTCTGCAATCTTGGACCAAGTACTCTTTGAAGGACTTTTTTAAAAAGGCATTTGGTGGCTTTCTTCAGTCTTTTGGGAAGCCTTTTGGCATAAAATGCTGCCAAGTAGCTAATTTAAGAAATGTATATACTCTCGATGGAATGTTTGCAAATGGAAAATTGGAAATGAAATAGGTTGCTGGATGCATTAATCACTTTCACACAGAATTTAGTTGCTTGCATGACTAAATTCTGTATAGATTGGGTTAGCAGAGCAGAAGATTTTAATATGCTTTTACTGAGTACTGTGAAATAAATTCTTTCTGGATTCTCAATGAAAGTAATTTTGAATATGTGCCTGGAGCAGCGAAATAATAGTACTGAGTTTTGTAGCCTTCTACAATTTTCATGACCTAATTGTGTGTCATTAAGGATAATTCTCCCCCCCTCCCTTTAAAAAAAAATTCTTTTTAACAATGTCATTTTGTTTGCTACTAAGAACCCCTTCTAGTTACATGGTCTGAAAAGATAAGAGCATTTGCTTCAAGGTAAACATTGAGCTAACCAGTGGTACTACTGAGTGAGGTAGGGAGGGGTTGGTTGTAAGGCAATCACCTGTCAAAACAGAAATTGGAAAAGGAGCCTTTATCTAGGGGGTGCAAAAGCTGACTTTTAAACTTGACCCCTGCTGGTTTTAACAGCTTTTCCATTTGTTCCCTGATAGCCATCCAAGTTTTATGTCATTCCAGAGATCTTTTTATTGGGGTGTAGTGGGGGGCGGGGGCAGTGCGGGAAGTAACAGGGTCAGAATGTACCTTACATTTAACATATGGTGTTTGAGTATTTGACTACCTAGGTAAGGTCATTTCCATGGTGTTAGCTGCCGAAATGGATTTTACTGGATCACATTTTGCAATCAGATCTATTTGGGGATAAAATTGTCTAAGCATTTAAGATCTCATGCTTCTATTTCCTGAAGGTGAGAATCTTAAAATTCTTCATCTATTTGGACTGTTCAGGTATTTTTATAAATGTTTTACCAGCATGCCTTTGCACCCCTTGTGAGTTGAATTCCAAAATCTCACAGATGTGAAGGGAAAGCGAAAGGAAGTGCTATGTAGCAGCTGGCCTTGAGAAATAGATGCAAAATGCCTGCATCTAAGTTTCTTGAAACCATATATTTTTCACAACATCTGGGATAAATTCTCATATGGAAGAAAGATTTAAGTTGGATATCAGCACTGTAAGTTGAAATGATACTACATTTTTGTCACTGATTAGGGAAAACTTGATAATAAAATTTTGTGAAAATGTAGCAAATTTGTAAATGTTACCAGGAGAATGTGATCTTGAGTCTAGTATTTTACTCCCCACTAGGAAGGATTACTTAGCAGTATCTGGCAAGGGTGCCCTGGTGGGATAGCGGTCACATGTTGGGCTGTAATCCCCGTGGTGTGCAGTTGAGAACCACCAGCTCTTCGGGAGGAAGGCTGCCTTCTACCCCTGGAAACAGTCACCGTCTCAGAACCCCACAGAGGGTTTCCATGAGTCAGCGTTGACGCGATGGCAGGGAGTTTGGTTGGGGTTTGGAGATGATGGTGCAGTTTTTGAAGAAATATTTGATTCAGTAACAACAGTAGGATTTTGATGGTTGGAGGGCACGTTGGTCCTCAAATCTGACACTGTATCAAATTGAGGTGGAGGGTCAAACGAATTGTTGGGCCCCTTCTCTACACTGTTTCCACGTCAGAAGGCCTGGGGCAGGGTTTCTGAAATTTCTAACAACTTTCCAGCTGCTGTTGCTGCTCAAGGAAAGGGGCTTTGGGGGCTGCTGAGCTTGTCCAAGGTAGCCTTGGTGTAGTGGTTAACGTACTCTGCTGTCAACGGAGAAGTACTCTGCTGTCAACGGAGAAGTCGGCATTTCAGACCGGTCACTCTGAGGGAAACAGATGTGGTGTACGCTTTTGAAAAGATTTATAACCTAGGAAACCTAATTGGGTCCCTGTCCTCTGTTCTATAAGGTCTGTATGAGTTAGGTTCAACTTAATGGCAGTGAATGGGATCTTGTCGAAATCCCAAATGAGGACATTGAGAGAGCCCTGTCTGCCATACTGTGGGGCTCGAGTGGTGTGGTGGGTCATGCATTGAGCTACTAGCCATAAGGTCAGTGGTTTGGATCCTTCAGCTGCTCTGTGCGAGAAATAGGAGGTTTTCTCCTGTAAAGATTTACTGTCTTGGAGACTCAAAGGAGCAGTTCTACCCTGTCCTGCAGGGTTGTTAGGAGTCAGGATGGACTCGATTGCGATGAGTTTTTGGTTTTATCTGCCATACAAATGAACCCCAAACCCACTGACCCCAATTTGATTCCACCTCAGTAATCCTATCCCGCAGTCATCGGACTCTGAGCTTGGTTAAAATTACAGTTGAAGATGCATACCATTTACAGTAATAAAATAAAACTAAAATGTGAAATCGGGTAGACAGCAATGGTAGAGCTTTTAACCATACTCAAACTATCACATAAACCATGTGGCTGAAGCTTTACTTTTAATTCAGAAGTTGATTTAAATGAGAAAATAATATGGATTGGAACAGATATGGCCTAAAAAATGCAAATCCATACCCTGTCAAAAAAAAAAGGGCAGATATTTTATTTTATTTTATTTTATTTATTTATTTTTTTTAAACTGAACCAACTTTAAAATCTGGGCAGATATTTTATACAAGTGAACATTTTAAGTATTTCTGTCGTCTCATTGCTTCAAGGTTAAAAGGTTCTGAACTGCGGGAACAAACAGGCTTGTCCTATAGGAAGTATAGCCAAAACGCTCCTTAGAAACAAGGAGGGTCAATCTTTGTTTTAAGTCCTTCGGGCACGTTGCAAAGAGAAACCAATTCCTGAAGAAAGTTATCAAATGTGTCCTCTGAAAGTAGCTCCAAGCTCACAGCCATGGAGTTGATTCTGACATGGTGACCCTGCAGGACAGGGTAGAACTGCGCCTGTGGGTTTCTGACACGAACTTTATAGGAGTAGACCGCCTCCTCTTTATTCAGTTTGGTTTAGAACTGCTGACTTTGTGGTCAGCTGCCCTACAAGTAATCCATTATGCCCCTAGGGCTCCTTTGATAAGTAGAGGATGGGAAGAATGAGGAAGACAATAGCAGGATTGACACTGAGGCTGCAACACTGGGCTCAGGCAAATAGAGCAATGATTGTAAAGGAAGGTTCTCAAAGGGTCCCTGTGAGTTGGAGCTGATTCAATGGCACCTAAGGAGCAGCACGGATTTTCAAAGAACGTGTAAACGAGATGATTTAAATTCTCAGGTAGAGGTAGGCGTATATGTATGCCTCTGTATGTTTCTGTAAATACACTCAACAGTGCTTAGCCAGGCATCCCAGTTGCTCCTCAGTTTTGTCCCACATTGTTCTACTGTTACGCTGGGAATGTGCCTACCATGAACTTGCCACATGTCCTGTTTTCTCCTGTAGTTTATTTCCAGTGGAAATTCCCAGTACTCTAGGCGAAGATCTGGCTTTTTAAGGAAGTTTGGGAGTTTCTTAATAAATGGACTAGAGATCTTTTTACACAGTAGTGAGTAGCACATTTCAAAATTCTCTTACAAGTGCAGGTCAGAGCGCTGAGTACCAATTTATAGGCTGAGGAGGTGATAATGATTATTTAGCTGTTACAGGGTAATCTGACTACATGAGAACTTTACTGATTTTCATTATTTTCTGGACTTGATTATGTTTACATTTACCCCAATAATAATAATAATAATAGTACCAATAAATATTTTTGGTGAAAGTATTTTCTTTTTCTACTTTATTCCTTTCTTGTTGTTTTCATAGCAGGACTGTAGTTTTCTTTAGTAGTGTTGCTTGCTGAATGAATGAAAGATGGATTGTATAAGTCAAACTATTCTATTAGATGACAAATGATTTTGATTGAAGCATGGTATATTTTGCCACAGCTACTCATGTTAGAGTTATTAAGATAGTCTTTAGCATTATGTCTTTTATCCAACTACGTAAAAACAAAATCAAGGACTTTTTCCTAAGTTTAGTTTTCCTTTTTGGTAAGAGAACATTGCTACCAGTTGTCTGAAGTTTCATTGGCTAATTTTTGAGGTTTATAGAAGTTTGTAAGTGCTCTTCATTAAAAACATTTGCGATAGTACAAACACAAGTCAAAACTGACTTGAGTTTCATATTTTTATCTTGCCTTTGGTTTTTATTATTTCCACAACTGTTAATTTGGATTACTATTTTATTTAAAATATTTTTATCTTAAAATTATATTTACTTTGAAGGTATATTGTCAAAACATCTCGTATTTTGAAGTGGCCTTGCCCAAAAGACATATTTAGCAGTTCACGCTAGCATTGGTTAAGATTTATCAGAACTGAACTGTTTAAGAAAATGAAAAATGGAGTTACAACAGTGTACAGCCAAAGTAGTGAGGTTGTCATGGGAAGCAGAAATAGGGAACCTGGTATAGACAGGGAACGAAATGGCCTTTTGAGCTGTAGTTGTTGATCTCTTTTATTTCTTATTATCTTCCTCTGGAGTTAAAGAAGTCTTTGAGGAAATGTTTTTTTTTCTCTGAATAAGTGGGTAGAAATTTATGCTTTCTTGTCCAATTGAGTACATATCAGTTTTTTCACATTATTTATCTTGGAAAATTTTGTGAGGCTAAGTTTGTCAAAAGTTTTAAAATCCATAGTTGGTGGATTGGTTAATCGGTTGCAATTGTGAAACATGTGAAAAAGTTGCTAATTAAAAAATGTAATTAGGGATTTTTTATGTGTTGGGAATATAATAGGTACTTAAAACCTGTCTGAGAGTTTTCTTTGGTTGTTAAGAATGGTTGCAGTTGAAGTTGCAGCCGATGGTCACTCATGATTCAGCAAGCATTTATTGAACACATACTAAGAGCTGTGGTGTTCAGATTCATGCTGAAAGGAGTGAGTGTCCAGCAAAAGAACTACTGGCGGCTATTGTGTTCATAAACTAAGAGAATGGCATGTGGTCAATCACTAAGTACATATGGAAAAATGCATCTACATCTCACCTTTGTTGTAATACCGGCATCTGTCTGGCATGAAATAGAGTTGATAAATATGTTGAAAGAGTGGGCCTTTTTTCCCCTAATAGGTATAAGGATATTGAAAATACAAATGGGTCCTCTAAGGTTCAAATAAAGCCCTGGGGTGCACTTGTTAACCACATGTTTTTACTCACCAAAAGGTTAGTAGTTCAAGCCTACCATCTGATCCATGGGAAAAGATGTGGAAGTCTACTTCCATAAAGATTACAGCCTTGGAAACATGG